TTTCGTATGCGGAGCAAAATCCATACAGCATCATTTTATATAAAATATTCATATACCTAATTATGATTAGGAAGCAGAGGGTGGCCCAATCAGTGTATTGTTTGCAGTGTCATATCAAAGTAACCTGAGGAATTAATACAAAGAAAATGCAAAGCTGGTGTGTTACTCAATGCTCTCCTCTCTAGGATTAGCGGTCTTCTCTCCCCAAATTAGACAGGTCTCTGGATGTAAACTGCAGGCTGGAAGAAAAAGAATAAGACCTTGATCTCCATATCAGACATGTTTCAGCATGACCTCTCTGAACTGGACAGTAGCCTAGTGAGATACTGCCCTGCCCTGGTCCCCCAGTTGTACAAATACAACAGCTCACAGAACGTGTAGAGACTGATATCATTTTGAGCTGATTAACGTTTTCATCATTAAAGTATTGACAATGCATCTTGGAAATGTACACTCTGGAACGTAGAGTTGTCGGTCGTTGAAAGACACAGATCGAGCCTATATGTAAGCTCACCGTAGTAAAAACAAAAGCAGTATGAAAATTAATAAACTGAAGTGCTAAGAAAAAATACTTTGGAAAATTTAAGCATCTGCGCAGCTGGCTTTTTTACCAGCACAGTCACCTCAACAGCCCCTTAACTAGTGTACCGACCCCCTGCCAAGCTCGTTTGGACCGGCGAGCAACAATGAAGACATGCCGATTTTTTTCTTAATTGTAAAGATCTTAAAAAGTAGAAGTACAATCTAAAGCTCTTATTTCCGATATGTACAGCATAGTTATTTTCTTAAGAAATTCAGATTTTTTATGTATTTGTTCAAGGTGGAACCGAACTTCGAACAAACAGTACCCCCCATTCAATCAAACTCCTCAATAAGTGAGTTCACAAAAAAGGAGTATAGGTCTATGGGCAAGTGCAATTAGTGACTGTGTGCAAAAAATAAAGGGGTAAAGTGCAATTATAGGGGCTCAGGGTGATTGTGGGGAGCCCTACACTGTACAGTTGGTCTGGTCCAGGAGAGGAGGACAGGCCAGCAGGTTTTTTAAATCTCCTGACGTCATCGTCAGCTCCAGACTTGAGCCTGGCTAAACCCCTCAGATTAAAAGCCCCAGATGAGCTAATTTAGTGCCTTTGGTGAGGTCTCGCCCTCTTGAAGATTTGAGGAGACCTGCAATTAGCCCAGCCAAATTATCAGACGGATTAAATATTTCTATCCTCCACATACGCATAAATATTGCAGACAAATTGTCATGACTGCTTTTAAAGGGGCACCGCAGTCCCAATTTCTCAGACCAGTTATTAAATCTCGGTAACAAAATAAAATTCGTAGATGGTATAGAAAAATCTTACCAATTCCAAATTAAGCACAAAACCGTGAACTTAGTGAAAGTACTGGATATTCGCCATGCTGTCGTGAACCCCTGGTAAGAAAGGGGGAAGGGTAGAGACGAGCTCTGGTAAACTCTGCCCACTCTCAGGTACCTCATATTATCTTCAGGACTGGAGGACACAGATCTAGAACATGGTTTCTATTATCAGCACCAGAGCTAAACAGTACCGATCTAGAATAAAGTGCCTTTATTCTAGCACCTGGGCTGGCAAATATTTATCTAGAACACAGGCTCCTTATACCAGCACCAGGACTGGAGAACACAGATCTAGAACACTGGTATGCAACTTCTGTTACTTTATACTGCTGCAGCTTAATCCAGCCAGGACTTGACAAATACTGAACTGACCCTTCATGACTCAGTGGACTCTGTGCCTGATGATCTGTTACAGAACGAGGGACCTGTCAGAGTACATCCAGTTCCTCTGGGACTGCAGACTAGTGTCACTGGAAGATGTGGAGGGCAGCTAATGACCCAGATGTCTTTGAAAGCTGGGGGCCGCTAACATCTTATTAAGCTTGCAGTATGCTTAACATCCAGCCTTCGAGTTGGTTGCCTTGCTACCATGATAAGAAAACTGAGATTTATCAGCTCCCTCTTACAAATCCAATATTAGACTCTCCATCTTTTTTAAGAACTCTCCTCTCAGTCACACAGTAGATCTCCCGATCAAACAAGTCATTTGCTTAAACCTTTTAATACATTCTAGTTCCTATCCCCTTGCAGATAGCAAGTTACACGTTTTAATGGTGAAGAACATCTGCAGCCTTTAAAACAGGTCTAATTAAGCAAATTACTAGTTCCGTTGAGAGGTCCGTGTAGTAATTTAGACCTCAGTTGGAAGTAAAGTCAAGAAGACCAGGCAAATAATTACTCAACAGTGCAATTAATTCCCTTAGGAATGTCTATTATTTATAAAACATCTGTGCTCAAGATAAATACACCACCTCCGATCAAAAAGAATGCCCACATAATAAACTTTAATTCTTACACACTATAAAGCCTGTTTTATTTTCTCAGTAGAAAATGAAGTGGGCAGCCCTTAAAGATACTGATCAAGTCTATACCCTTCAGGTCGGTTTGAGACAGGAATGTGTATATTCTCCTAAACTGATCAGAAATTAAGCATAAACCCTGTAATGAGTGGATATTAATGCTAACTGTCTGAGGTACAATATTAATGTACCATGCAAAATAAACTGCTATTATTCCTTTTTTTTTTTACTGGACTTAAAGCTAACCTCTTTATCTATGAGTGAAGCATCACTCCAATTGGGTCTGACTTGCTCAGAAAACATCTTTGTGCTGATTGGTGGAAGGAAGAGCCAATTAGTGTTTGCGTACAAGAAACGTTCATTATCCATTTTTATTTCTAGAAGCAGTCAGCTCATTTTACAGACACCAAAGTGTTGATCTCTTGAAGCGTGAGGCACTTCTGCAGCCCTGGGGCCCTGGGTTCAAGTCGGGGACCTGGGGTGGTGTCTGTGTGGAGTTTGCGTGTTCTCCCTGCGTTCATGTGGATCTCCTCTCGGTGCTCCGGTTTCCTCCCACAGTCCAGAGACATACCGGTAGGTTCACTGGCTCCTGGGAAAGTTGTACCCGGCGCCAGTGGGCGAGCTGGGCACAAGTCAGTGTGGCCGGACAAGGGCCCGTGGCCTGCTGGGATAGGGTCCGGCAACCCTGCGACCCTGAATTGGATAAAGCGCATTAGAAACAGGATGGGTGGTTCCCGTTGTTTTGGCGGGGACTTCCTGCGGGAAAAGGGACGCCTCTTACTTTGGGGGTGGAGTCCTGGCGTGAGCCCGCAGGTGGGATTTCAGGCTGCACTTTCTCTTGAAAGCTCTGCCGCACTGGGTGCAGCGGTGTCCGCCACGCTGCTGGACCTGCGGAGAGGGGGGCCCGGGGCCCAGCGGCCGTGGGGTCCCCCCTCCCGCCTCGCCCCCCCCTGCGCCGGCGGACCACCGCCCCCCTCCAGGCGAGGGGCCAAGGATCTGTTCCGGACCGGCCTCGCTGCCGGCGCCGGGGGGGCTCGGAGCCGGGTCCCAGGCGTCGGCGGAACCGGGCTCCCGGCCTGGGGACCCCCGTCCGGTCCGGTCGGGGCCCCCTCTGTCGCGACGGGGCCACGAATCTGGAACGAACCCCCCGTTTCCGGGCTCGGGTTCCCGTTTGGCCGCGCTGACCGGCTCCACTTCCCTGTGGCGGCGGGCGACGTTGACCTGTCCGTCCTCCGCGTCCATCGGCGGGGGGTCCCCCTCGGTCCCGCAGCCCTGCCGCCCAGTGTCGGGGACAGCGCCGGCCTCCGCAGCTCCTGGCGGAGGAGAGAGCACAGGGGAACGAGACCATGACACTCTCAGCCGGCCAGGACCCTACACTCCCAGCGGAGGAGCGAGCGTCAGAGGGAGATCAAGAGGAGAAGGGTTGACTCCTGGGATGGCAGCGATGCGTGAGGAGACACAGTGCCCACTCCCATTTGTAGCGGAGCTCGTTTGGGCACGGTGACATCATCGCCCACCCCGAGCTGCCTGGGCTGGGGGAGATCTCCTTTAGCTCCCTCGGCTGGGTTCGAGCCCCAGGCACGGCGGGGCGGAGCGGCGAGGGCACGAGCCAGCACAGAACCGCGACGGTCACGCGTTCCTTCCTCCACAACGGCGAACGGCCCGGCCCGCTGCACGGCCGAGGAACGGCTCCTACGCCACGCTCTTCGTTAAGATTAACGAGGCGTGGCGAAGTCAGGGGACTAAGCATCTCCTCCCAAGCTCCTGCCTTTACAGCCACTGCGACGCCCACTGCTGTAACCCGGCCAGTCGCGGTAATGACAAATTAAGTGTTCGTTTCATTTAACCAGCCGTTTTCAAACTGCCTTTCGGGAGCCTGTCCCAGCAAGCAACTGGCGCAAGGCAGGGTACACCTTGGGCAGGACGTCAGTCCATCACAGGGCAGACAGACACACACACACACTCTCACACCAGGGCCTGTTTTCCCAGAAGCCAATTTACCAGCATGTCTTCGGATTGAGGGAGGAAACCCCTGCCCGCACAGCGGAAACATGCAAACTCCACACAGACAGCACCGCAGGTCTGGACTCGAACCCAGGGCCCCAGCGCTGTGAGGCGGCAGTGTATGCCCCGATCAACCAATGAAAGGGTTCCTGCGCTCCAGTTTCACAAACCTTCAAATATTAACACTGGCCACTCGATTTCTTTTAACATCCTTTGATATGTTTGCTTTATCATGTTCTGTAACACAATTGCTAATGGACCAGTGTTTCCTATCAGAAACGCTACTTTCATGTCTCTTGAGATTTCTGGATTGCTGAATTGTTACTACATTGAGATGAGCGGTTCTACAAAAAAATAAATTTATACCCGTTCTTTAATTGTTTCAGATTGTACCAAAATTACCGATCAACATCTATTTTGTTACCGCTCTAATTTTTTTTTTTACAAACGATTGCTCAGAAAACTGTAATTTGAATTGAGGAGCCTGTTATCGATGAAACGTTGTAAAAAGGGGAGATTAGTATAACTGGTGACTTACGGTCTACTTTTACTTTAACGTGTAAAACAAATGCGAGTTATTCTAATTGCATCAGGTACACGCCGTAAAGTAAGACGGTAAACACGCAACTCATGTGTGCCATAAAGAGAGAGGGGACTTTATTGCGATTTAGCCAAGATTAAAAGGTGGTTAGGCTGCTAACAGCGGTCCTCCCGGCTTCAAGTGTGTTTTGTCCGGTTGCCACACGATAAATCCTCCTCCAACTCTTGAAAGCAAGCATGCACACCCAGAGAGAGTGAGAGAGAGAGAGAAAAAAACATTACTGCAATCCGCCGCTCCGGCCTCTCTCCGCCCGGGGCTGCGCTCTCCGAGCCGGGATCCGTCGCTCCTCCCTGGCGGCCGGTCCCCGCCGGAGCCCCGCGTCCGCCTCCGCCGCCGCCGCCGCCTCGCCGCCACCAGCTCGGCCCTGCACTCGCGGATCCTGCGCCTCAGGCCCGCGTTGTCTCTGTCCAGCCGGGCGATCTCCCCCCGGTACTCCGCCATCATCTCCCCCACGACCCTCCAGATCTCCGACACCGCTACCTGGGTCAGCTGAGCCCCCGCCGAGGCCAGGCGCTCTTCCAGGCGGTCGGGAAAGGACATGTGTAGCCCCGCACCCTCCAGAAAGTACAAAAACCGGCCAGCCCGAGAACCTCTACAACTCTTGGAGAGGACGGAGGCATTTAAACCGATCAGACATAAAACATCATTTACCAAATCGCTCCCACAGCTTCGTTTTCCGTTGTCAGAGCTACTGACTTCCGGTAGGGGCAGAAGTGAGAACTTCTAACGCCATTCGCATTTCTGGTTTATTCTGCTTATTTGGTGTGTTTTTTAAAAAAAAATCCGTAACACGTCTCGCCCATAAATTAAAAAAAAAGTCTTGTTTAAACCTATTTTCAACTGGAAGAGGTCTCCATAAATGTTTCCACTGAGACGGCAACACATGGAAATGCATCGCATTAAATATTCGAGTTAAGTTCTTATAAATCATAAATGTAAACAGGAATCCAGGTGAATATTTAACCACCTTGCGCGCAATATCAGCTATTGCACTACCGTCGTGATATGAAATCTGGGTTTTGCCACATGTATCAGTTTGAGCTATAGGAAATGTTTCCTTTCGATAACCCTCGCTGCAAGTTTTAATTATATTCGATTGTTGAAAAGGTTTAATTAAGCTGGCAAATGCCTCATCCATCACTGTATTTAAAGAGGCTTATAATTTATTGAGTGACTCAGTCGATTCTGTGTGTGGCTCACTAAATTATAGTATATAGTATGCTTCTTAAGGTATTGAATAAGTGATTAATAAGTCACTGAATTAAAAGGTACTTTAACCTAGAAGGAACTTCAGATAAGAAGTATTACAATACAATAATGGAGTAAAATAATTAGACCAATTTTATAACTGTGAGTTTGGATAGAGCAAAAATCAGAAATTAATCTTAAAAGTCCCAGTTGTTTCAAAACTGAGGCTTTAAAAAGAAGCAATTTGGCAAATCACCAGCTCAGTTAAGGGAGCAATTAATTAACCAAGCACTCAGAATGATAACAGTTGTTCCCCGCCCCTTGTGTAACACGTTTAATAGTGTTGCAGGTTTCTGAGATACTCCGTGTCACACTGGGGCCTGGAAACCCAAGAACAAAGCCAGAGGTTAATTTCATTTTTATTTATTTCATTTTTATACAGAATTGATATTGCATTGACTGGAAAACACAGAATAACAATATTTTACATTCCACATATATATACGTAGACAGAAAGCTCTCACTCTGTCATGGAGGTTACAGTAATGTCATGATTCACCTTTTGACGTGTAAAAGTAAAAAAGAAGACAAAAAAAAACCAGAACAGAATTAAAATGTTGTCTCAAGTTCATGCATGGGGCCAGAGATTCAGAACTGGCCCCTTGTATTGCCGGTACAGTATCTCTTTCGCAAACTGCTGTACTACGGATTTCTGATAGAAAAGCATATTAAAAAATTCACCTCCCTAAAAGCTTGTACATAAAGGGACTCCCACAGCTTTCACCATTCAATGTGTGGACATGAATTGGCTTTGCAAGTCTAGGCTAGGCACTTTGAGAGTCCTCTAGATCTTATATTACCGGGCTGAGTTTGTTACTTTCCTCTACAGACCTGTCGTTGGTGGGGTACAGGTTCATTTACACGCAGGAAATGAAAACTGGAAAAGCTCTTTTGTTTTTTGTTTTTTTATTTGATGGCCGCTTTTTTCCAAAGTAACCTAAATTTGCACCTATTTGTACACAACGCACAAAAATACAAATAGCACATTGAGGGAAATACTTTGCTCTGGTGGACAACAGCACTGTCATTCCCAAGATTGGAACCCACAACCCTCTATTTACACACCCAGAGCCCTCTCCCCTGCTGTCCCTATATGCATTTGCACGCACAGAAAATCTCTGGCTCCTTCCCCTCTCCTGATGGCAAGGAGGACAGCACTGATGTTAAAAGACATCAGCTGGTTCTCCACCATTGAACAGCACAAACTCTGTGGCATGCATAGGCTGAGATAGGCTGGGAACAGTGAAGGGAGAGACCACAAGTCCCCCCCCAGAGGAATCTGCTCGTTTCCAAATCCTACGTGCAGCAAGACCAGGAAAAGGTAACACTCATCGACATGACCACAGAGGTGCCAGCTGTCCCTGAACAGTTTTTTTTTTGTTTCCATTTACAAACAGAGGAGCGGACATACAGCCAGTCGGTCAAAGAGATGCTGTACCTACAGGTTTCCAGGTACGTACGCGGATACAAACTTTTTCAGCCAGTTAAAAAAAATAAACCAATTCAACCTTGTGCTTCAAAGTAAGACATTACCTACAGTATCTAGGACACCACCACCCTCCCCCTCCCCCGGAACACACACTAGTCACTAAGCACTCGTTGAAATGAGCAGATGCACCACTAGGGGGCCCTAGACTGAGGGTTATTTAACAATTTATCTCAGAAGAGGGCTAAGATTATGGTCATTGACAGAAATCTTAGGAGCCCTCCCCGACTTCTACTCAATTCCTGTCAGTCCCTGCAGAACAGAGTCGGTTTCATCTCTGTCTATCCCCCTTTTTGAGGGGGTACTGAGGGACACCCCCAAATTTAGAGAAAAGCCCCAGACCTGGAACCTAGCCATTTCCCTCAAACCTAGCCACTGTCTTCCCCTGTAGGTCTCCAAGGTTATGAGTGACATTGTGATGTCACTGGGCCCCCATGCGGTACACAGGCTCATAGTTCATAATTAAGACAGAGTGGCTTTTTTCTTACCAAGTTTATTACATTGTTACTGCACAGCGATCACTCAGAATTAGGCGACAGACAGGGAAAATGTGACAAGTTACAAATGACCTTGACGAAATCAATAGAAAAAGCACATTAAAAAGATTTTTTACAACTTATTTGCTCATAGTAACACATCAATCTCACACAAGTCTATCTAAGCCTATATGGTTTAGTGTTTTGGTCACAACATTGTATTATATATATATATTCCATAAATTATTATCCCAAAATAAAGTTTTCCCAAAAAAAACGAGAAAAGAAGAAAAATAATTCTTGCTTTGCAACACGAGATCACACCATACTTTAAACAGTATTAATATGTTTTTTATTACTAATTTAAAGCTCTAAAAAAAAGTCATATATGCTCTTCTGAAACACTTATATGCTTTAAAATACAGATTTACATATATATATATAGTTTTATGGACTGTAGCTATGTTATCATTTTTATAATGTGTATCTTAAGTTTCTTTCCTGTGATATTATTATTTTAAAAATAATTTAAAACTCCAGGAGCTTATTTTCCGCCACAAAATAATTAGCCGATAAGCCCACGTCATTTTTTTAAAAATAATTTTGAGGAATGAACTAAACTGAGAGGTTTTAATACATTTCCTGTTTATATAACCATTAGGAACAGCTCTGCCAAAAAAAACCCCAAAGAAACCTGCTTTGTTGAACATAAATAAATACGTGGACTAAATAAATAAATCTAGTTACTGATGGATAACACTTCCTACCTGCTAGTTCACTACTTTCTCTTATTTAAGTACTAATTAGGGCCTGAGCCTCCTGTAGCTGTTGACACCCCAGATGCACTGTAGAAAGTGGGCTGATAATGTCAGGGGTGGGAAAGACTGTCCTGTGTATGGGACAGTATGGGATCAGTGCACTGAACTGTTGCAAAGAATCAAATTCACCTATAATCAAGTCCATCCTATCCCATCACACAGTCTACAGTGTGTCCAGTCAGAAGACATATGTCACCCTGCCTTATATGATCATTTAAGTACTAATGCAACGGCTTTCAGTTAATTTAAATGACATTGATCAACTGAAAGAAACGACAGTAATTGCAAACTTTGAGTAATCAGCTAAAATGAACAAAACTCCAGCCTGCAGTTTCTCTCTGTGCCTTTGTGATCAGAGTGGAATGAGACTGTCAGTGGGCCTGTACACAGGACCTGGAGCAGGATATCAATATCAGAGCAGGATGAGAAGCGGCTTTGGGGTAGCTGAGTACTTGAGCAGGGGAGCAGGGAGACGAGATTCGTCTCAGATCCCAGTCGGTTGCGGCGCTAATTTGAAAGTCGCTCTACATTCGTATCAGGGGCCCAGATCGGCGACATTGGAGCTGGCCGGTCGCTGAGCTTGCTCCAGAGTCCAGAAGGACTTGTCGTGTAAAATGAAACGGTTTCAAAATGACCTCAATCTTCAAGAGTGGTCTTTTTAGCAGAACAGAACTTGCACTTCTCCAGGCCCCGCAGAAGAAGGTCTTCAGAGATGCTTCTGGGATTCTAACTTAAGTGTTAGTTATGGCTGTGCGCTGTCATGTGGTATCAGTCATGATGATGAATTTCCTTTTGATTGATTTGTACGTGTTCTGGGCTGCTGAATCTTCCCCCCTGGTCACCTCCAGCAGTGTTGGCGTGAGAGAGCTGGGTAGTTGCTCTTCTACAGGATATCCTCAAGGGGATGTCTTGAGGAACATGTGGCCATATTCTGACTCTGTCTCCTGACGGGCAGATCCACAATGCTGAGTCCTCAGTTACAGCCCCTTGCTCTCTGTTCTGACTGATTTGTGATCTTCAGCAGTTGAGTACAACTTGACCGGGGGTCAACGAGCTCGGTAAAGTACTAGCTGAATAATATCCTGACATGGAGCAGAACTGAAGTGCTTCCTTGCCCAACCCATGGACTAAGGTAAGTTAGGCCTTCTCTGGTCCTGCAGAGTCACAGTCTAGCTGGGATTGTAGAGCCCCTTGAAATGTTCAGGTTCTGGTAGTTTGCAGCACGAGACATTTTGGCCAATGTAGCAAGTTGATTTCTTCAGTGGTGTCAGGGGTGGCCCAGTTATGTCACAGATAGCCAGCTGCCACCCTAGAACAGTGGTTCCCAGTCCTGGGTCTGGTGACCCACACACACCTGAGTTTTTGTTCCATCTGAGCCCTCAGTGACGCAATCAAACCCTTTGTTGACTTCATAATAATAAGATCAACGTGAATGGTTTGTTCCCAGCTCTTACACAAGCTGGGGCTTTAACCATTGCATTTTGGGAGAGAAATAAAATCTCAAACTGGTGGCTGGAAACAAAATGCAGATATTCCAACATCTTAGCTCAGGTAAGGCTTTGGTGATCTAATGAAGGTGGGCTGGAATTAAAACCAGCAGGGGTGTGGGTCACCAGCACCAGAACTGAGAACCAGTGAACATTTCATCCCAGGTTCTGGAGCCGCCAGCCCAGATAGCATTGCAGGTCACACTACAGCACTCGGGATAGTACACTAGGAAGCTAATGGTCAATTAGGCAAGCAATTAAGTAAAGAAGCAAATTCCGTGCAGCATTAAGGTAACTCTGCCATTGTCAATTGCTGTTACAAATAATTTCTTAATTGCTTACTTTAACAAATCCCCTGTAATTGATCACAACTAAATTGCTCCCAGTCCTCAGAAAATTGCTGATTTTAGTAGTGAGCTGATGGATTTTTCTCTCCTATAGAAAAGGGAAGTAAGGTACCAGTGGTTTTATACAGCCAGCTGTTAAGTAATAAAGCTCTGTCACATGAGTCAGATAAAGATCTGGCTGTACAGAAACCTTGTCCCAGCACAGGCTCTGTGGTTTGGCATCTGATCACTCCTATTTTAGAGAGCTGCAGGGTTTTCAAATGTTTTTTTTTAATTTCTCCAGTGAACCTCCAGCAGTGCTCTCAGCCCAGAAGCTCAGAAGACAGATAAGAAAAGAGTGGTGAAACTGCACTCAATAGATACATTAATCTTGCAAATACAATTTGGGGAAAATTAATCACAATAAAAATGTGTTGAACTAAATCTGAACATAATTTGAAATATATTTTAGAATTTGTCTCCACATATAATTCAGCAACACACTGAAATCCATTTCTACTTGTGACATAGGAGTCAGCGTGTGCCTGATGTACATTTAAATCTAAGTTTTGAAGTGCACTTCATCGATATTTTCAAATGTATAACATTTTTATATATTTTTTTAAAATATTGCATTGTACACCTAGTCTTCGTTTATTTTCTATTTTGTCTCCTTCTGGTGCATTCCTGCAGCTCAGTCCTGTGAAACTGGTCTGGAATGTTTTTTCCATTATTCGGACCTATACTCCATCTATAACTCATTCTGCCTACATCTACATCAATGGGTCAATACTACAAAACACTGGCCAGCAAACAGCTGTTTCAGTCATTCCTGGTTGGGTAAGACAGGAGATCCTATTGTCACGCTTAAATATCTAATTCAGTTCTCATTAAGACCTGGGTTTCAGTTTTCCACTAAGGATAACACACCCATTGAATTAATTTGCTATATGGACAGTTTCCTTAGGACCTGTGCAAACAGGGAAAGTTTGGACCCTTATAGGCATCAGCCCTGATCCTGGGGGATTCTGCTGGGTTTTGTTCCAGGTGGGCTGTTACATAATTGAAGCCCTCATTGACTAAATAGTAGGGTTCATTTGAACTAATGTTTCCTAAACATGTAGGAGCCCTGCCATTTGACGATGGCCCCTTCATTAGTAACTTTCTGGTCCCCAACTTTAGAGTAGAATAAAAATCAGAAAGTTGCCAATCAAGCAATGTGTTTTAGTTAAATTACAGATTCAATGAAGTTGCCAACACAGTAGGAATGAAAACCAACTGGTGTTGGGAGACCTCTGCTAATTGGTCTTTTGTTCTGCACTGGTCCTTGAGGTCGTTTACCGCTGGGGAGAAATTGGGGGTTCTGCTGTACCCCAGCGGTGGGGAAAGGAGGTATTGGGTTTGGAGCTGGAAAGGGTTACATATAGGCCAGAAAGGTTCATGTTCCTCTTTAGAGCAGGAGTGGGTCAAGGCTCAGAGTCCTGCATGTTTTACCGGTGTTTTTCAATGCAGAACTGATTAGCCCTCCATTGCTTGTAGGGCAAAAACACACTGGAAACATCTTTCATCTGTTTCAATCACTAACTTGTAACATCGTGGCCCAGGATGGCCCTAGGCAAAATTACACTATTAAAAAAATCAGGGGGGTGGGGGGATACTTTATATTTCATGAAAAGTCCTGTGCTGTTTCTGATTTGTTTAAATGAGGGGCCAGGAGCTGGTCAGCACTGCTCTTCAGGAAAATAAGTCACGTCTGTTGGATTATACTGCACTGCTCGGCCTTTTCTTGGTTTTGAAAATCAGCTTCATCTCCGAGGCACGCTTGCCTTCACTGGCAACATGGGGTTGTGCTGGCTTCTATATACCAGAGGCCTTGGTCCTTCAAGAATCTGTTTTTTAGTAATTTGAAACATTGTACCAGCAGGGGGCAATGTCTGAGAGCATTCTACGCCCTGCAAAATCGCCATGCTTTGTCAAAGGCATTATGGACTTAAGAGGTAGATATGCCTTGGAGACAAAATTGATCTACAAAAATCACCTTCAGGAAGTCGCTGCATCGTGTGCCTTTCTGTTTTCTCTTTTCTGGCCTGTCCCTCTGCCCTGTTTTGGGTATTCTGCGTGAGTTATCAGTTGTGCTTTGAATATCATTGATCATGCTGCTTAATTATTCTGACATCAGTCCTCTCTGACAGGGTGCCAGGAAGTGCACAGGGGAAGTCACATGGTGTCGCACAAAGCTCAGAAAGAAACTCTGCACTCTGGTGCATGTGGATTTCTGTTTTAACCGTTTGATGTCATTAGTTTCTACAGCAAAATCAGTTCTCTTCCGCTGGGCACTTCCATCACCTTTGTGAAGTGTGTTCTCGAAAACCGGTTACGTTGGGATACTTCATTATCCTGGAGAGACATTGCCTAAGGAGAAACTATCTCGTAGAATTTCTTATAATGAGGATTTCAAACAAGTGGCTGAAACGCCAGGAAAAACAGAAGTACAACACTTCTCTCCACGGAAATCCCATGAACCTTTGAACACAGCTGGTGTTTTGACAAAGCCATGGGAGATCCATTATTCCCTTTCTCCTCTCCTGATCACCTTTGATTTACACAAACCTCTCTGAAGTCTCCTACTGGTAGGAGCCTGGGGTCATCATGGCCTGACCTCTGACCTCTGACCTCTCACCTCTAACCCCTGACCCCAGACCCCAGACAGTCCCACCCTGACTCTTGACTTCTTTCCTGTTGAACCCAATCGCTATCCCCTCAGCCTCCGCTCCCATGTCCCCTCCCCTCCCCCCTCTGCCCGTCGGGATTGGTCAGTAATCCTGGCGCTGGTACCCCGCCGTACTGTCGAAGGTCTCCGTGTTGGACTGCTGGTACGATCCGGGATTGGGGGGGCTCTCCAGGTCCTCCCCGCCGACGTACGCGCTGTAGGGCACCGTGGCGTCCTGGCTGGGGTCGGTGTAGTCCTGCGAGAACAGCGCCGAGTCGGCACCCAGCTTGTACCGCTGGAATGCCAGGAACGCCTGTCCTGCCTGGGGAGGTCAGGGTTGGGGAGGGGGAGGTCAAGCAGCGGAAGTGGGGCGGACAGAATCGAAGACAGACGTTTTGGGGAGAGAGTGACCAAGGGAGGGTTGCAGACCAAGGTAAGGTGTTTGGTGTGACAGTTTGTGGAGTGCATTGTGGGTAGGGGAAAAGTGGGTAATCAGGACGGGGTGTTGGGATTAAGGGTTAGTGGACAGGGGCAGTGGATAGATAGACATGCATGAGGGGGGTTGTTTTCGGGGTGCATGATTTCATTGTGGTTTGGGATGGAGGCAGATTGGGGGCGCAGGAGATTAGTATGGCGTGTCGGTAGATGTTGGGGTACAGGGACAGTTGTGGGGGTAAAGGAGCCAAATGACCCCAGAGGCCAGGAAAGGAGGAGGTTAGAAGGGGCAACAGGAGGTCGCATTGAACGTAGGTGCAGGCGACAGATGGGTACGCAGAGTGGCAGGGAGATTGCAATGGGGGAATTTTGGGGGTTGTTAGGAGCGGTCCGATTATAATGCAAGGGGCACATAGATTGGAGGGTGTGGTGGGGGGGGGAGGTTGTTATGGGGTTTAGAGAGATTCATCAGGGAGGGAGAGGCAGAGAGAAGGAAAGCAGGAGAACAAGAAAGAGAGAAAAAGCAGTTGTTGGTTAGTGCCGGCAGTTAAGCTTATTAGTCAGCTCTAGCCGAACTGTTAGGGCTAATTACGGCAGCGATCGGGGCCCCGAGATCAGACAGAGCCCCGCGGCACAGACAACAGCCCAGGAAAGGCCAGGCCAGAGAGGACGCATTTGCACACGGGGCTCATTTTGCGTTTGTCCTTTATTCAGTGCGGTAAGACTTGCGGACCTTTCAAAACACACCGGACTGGGAGAGGACTGCAGTTCATGCCTCTGCCACTGCCCGCACCCCCACCCTCTCGCCCACACATATGCAATTACAAAGAAAACAGCCCCCCCCTTCTTCGCCGTGCAAGAGAAGCTCTGGACAGTTAAAGGGGCTCCTTGGGAAAAATCCGTGCTTTGCGGAGTGGCTTCGTTCAGGAACGGGTTTTTTGCGGTCAATCTTTTTTGAAATTTTCTTTTCTTTAGGGAAAAAAAAAAACAATCATCAACCAACAACAAGAACAACACAAATGGTGGGATTGTGCACCGATCGGCGAGTGGCCGGCCAGCGTCGGGTGCCTCTGGTGCTCCCGCCTGGTCCTCTGACAAACGGAGAGGCGAAGACGTTTCCTCTTTCAGGGATGTTGGTCAAGGACCTCTGTCTTCCAGAGCTAAGGATGGGTCATTTTGATCAATGTTACGCCCTAGCCTGCGAGATCTTTACAAGGAGGGTGACAGAAGGCTAGGCATTCATCGAAAGGCAGGGGAAGGTGGAGGAACACGTTACCGTGGGAAGAGTACAGAAAATAACCTTCCGTCCATCAGCGGTGACCACATTATCACTCCAGGGTCACAAGGGGCTCTGGAGCCTAACACATCCAGACCAGGGCACGGGGCGAGAGCTTCTTCCTGACGGGATGGCAGGGCACAGTCGCTCATGCACATTCGGGGGAGGGGTGGGGGGTGTTGACCCAAGAACTCCGAAGAGACAGCGCCATCCATTGTATCCCCCTATCTCCCCGTCACCCAAAGACAATTTTATACAGACGCTTCTTCTGTCTGAAGACGCACTTCATCCACCAGATTTCACTATATTTGAATGCATATTTATGCAAAGCGGCAATTATTTATTTATTTTTCAACGCACTGCACCGATATATTGGGGGGGGGGGACAATTTAACCTTCCTTAGGTGCAGGACAAGCAGTTGCGAAGTGTTTTAGTGGCTCGATTTAGAGAACAATCAGGTTGTGCAACTCCACTCCGAGGCGAGGGCCTGGCTTCACAGTTACAGTTTTGGATCTGACACAATCCATCCCCTCAGGACAAACATAGACAAAACATGAACATAGGACTGGTCCTCTCTCAAACTCTCATCCCCCCCCCCCCTCCAGCAATGGAATAGCCCAGCTCAGGCTGCCACACTAGGGTTCGGACTGTACCAAGGAGGGTTGCAGCTAGACGAGGGGGTTTGGGGGTTGGGTGGTGAAAAGTTTGTTGTACTCTTCTTCAAAAGAGACAGTCTTTAGCCTCTCTACTGACAGCATTGTTTGAGCTACC